CCAAGCTATAAACAAATTGAATTATTTAAGTAAAACAATAACCTAATAATTTAGATCTTGATTTAATACATTTTGTTAGTTATCTACTAATACAATTTTTTAGGGTTATTAATATAACCTTCAAAAACAATAAAAAGAAAAGCTTAACTAGCAGACCATCATTAATTATTAAAATTCATTAATTAAAATTAATTTGTTGAAAAAAACTTACTTTCTTCCAATTTCGAAAGCCACTTTTTACAAAAACTTCATTTTGGTCATTTATACTGTACATTCGGCAACAGAAACAATAAACGGCATCAGATTTTATACTATAATCAAGCCAAAAATAGTCTTTATAATATTTTGCAGAAGATGACCGATGTTGATTTCCACTAATAGTTTTTGGATAGTTCTGAAAAATGTGTAAAGATTTCAAAAATTATTAAAAAAAGATAAAATAAGAAGTTAATAAAGAATAATTAAAGAAGATTTAAGTTTAACATTGTACTTACATTTAATATTGGTTGAAGCGGTCCAGTATTTTTGTCTCCTATCTCAAGTTCAACATCTTTTTTGTTGAAGTCAATTTCAACGTTTTCAATAGACAAATTATCAGAATTATCTTTTATAACAGTATTTGATGCACTAGGATTACCCACATAATATTCGTCATCATCTTGTTCATTGACAAGTTCTTTTGTAAGTTGTGCGTTATTGACGCTTATAGATTTATTTAAAAAATTGAATACACTAAACATTTTTATTTTATAAATAAAAAAAAGAAAAAACAAGTCACGACGTTTACGCACAATAAATCATACAGAATAATTATTATCATTGTATGATAAATCACTAGCTGCTATTAATTAGTATCATATTATTATATATCAAATTTCCCATACAATAAAACGAAATAATATTACACAACGGTGTTTTCATTTCTATTTTTAAAACTAAACGTTTATAGATAAGGTTATAAGATAGGCCGCCGAGTCATTTTCGGTCGGGGTAACACCAGGATCGCTATAGTACGCGAGGCGAAAAGTGAGCCGCGATCGTTGCGCGTCAAGCGGTCATTTTTTCTGGTTTCAGGGGTTCTACGTTTGTGTGCAATGGAAACAGCTGGCGCGCATTTTAAAAACGGCAGGTGGTAATTTATTGTACAATTGATTGTATTTTGGAGACCAATTTATTTTCTTTTAGCAGTAGGGGGTAGTGCTGCAGCTGTTGCATACCACAATATTTTGTTAAGGTTTGGTTAGTCATTCGACATAATTTATTAAAAAAATCTACATTACGTCGTTTGAAATTACTTTATAGGCGGGAAAACAGTAAGAATAGGCGGAGTAACCCTGACGAAAAATAGCCGCTTGGCGCGCGACGATCGCGGCTCACTTTTCGCCTCGCGTACTATAGTAAATTTCACGACACCGAAAAACCGTCCAGTGGCGCATCTATAGTATAATATATAATCAATGATAATAATTATTGTACGAACAGCTGCTGGGTTGTTAGGTTAGATTCGGCGATAACAATAACATTCTTTTCACTGCGCGGCGTAGAGCATCATATGTTTTCGATAATCAGCGAAGGCCGGTAGTTAATGTAACAAAATATATGATTAGTATATACTATTTTTAATTTTACATTATTTTAAAAGCATAGACTATTAGAATTAGATAAAAGAAGACTAACCTAACGTAGGGGGACTGAACCACTAATTGGGGGGACTATAGTAACCCTAGTCCCCCCTCACCCTACGCCCATGCTGAGTATCGGCTTGGTCCGAGCTTCGGGTGGTGTACATTTTATTGTCGAATGTTTTGTGTTATTATAATCATATACTAATTTTAAAATTACCAATTCCATGAACCTGTTGATGTAAAATGTTTGCAAATTTTATTTTTTATAGTTTTAATTACTATTTCAGCCATTCCAGCTTTTATACTACTGTATGTTGAATAATGTTTAATATTATATTTTTTCATAATACTTTGAAATTCGTTGTTATAAAACTCTGTACAATTATCTGTTTGTAATAATAATTCAATAAAAAAACATCATAAAGATAAATTATATAAATCGCTGTTGGTGAGTTACACAGAATTTAAGAATATTTTAATATAACTATAATTTATTTAATAATATTATAACAAATTCTAGCATGATATTATAAAAAATATTATAGGCAGTAAAGTAACAATACCTATCTCATCAAAATGGTTTATCAACACTGCCTATCTCAATATCGAAAATACGATCAATTAAAACCAAATTCAGCCACCCCGAACAATGATACATTTGTCGTAAAACGTAACTTTTAATGCCCTAGATATATATATATATATAGCCGTACCCGCACGGCGTTGCCCGAGAAGAATTGCAAGTCAAATACCCTTTACATTTTTATTATTGTTGTAAAACATAATAACATGTATCGAATGAAAAAAAATTATATTATAGAAAAATTTTTATTAATCATATATTTAAAATAAAATAAAATAAAATTATATTGAATCATATATCATTAAATTTATTGGGTTAGAGCTTCTCTGTAAACGGGACTCGTATGTGAAAAAGTAGGGCCGCGCGCCGGCTGTAAATTTAGCGTAGAACGCGAATAAGATCCAAACGTTGAGGGCGATACGACCGAAACGGGCTAAAACTCGAATTTTTGAAAAAAGCGGCAAAAAAAGGAAATCGAACTCTTCGACGCATATATTCACGCCCGTGTATAGAAATAAATAGTATCAAGGGCTGCTTTGACGGGGAACTCGAATAAGTCTTCGATGGGAAGGTCCGAAGTCCGTAGAGGCGGTAAAACTCGAA